GACCTGAGCCGAAGGCAGACGCTTAACGACTGAGCCACCCAGGCGCCCTTAAAGTGATTTTTAAGACACTTGTAATGGCACAAAGGTGGAGTTTGGGGAAGCTTTCAGAAATACACTAGGTAGAATTACCAGTGGATTCCTTGCAGGAGAGAAGTGTGGTACATAAAAAACTAGTATGAGTGTACAGGAAACTGAATTAAACGTTAAAAGATGTACATAAGATGGATTTCTGCTGGTATTTTTATCCTCTGCTTCCTTTTTGAAATCTGCTTTCTTACAAAGTCTGGAGTACACAGTGTTTTTCACCTTGCCTTTTCTTGACTGTTTTTTGAAATGTCTCAACATTTCAATCACTTTTACTTTACTAATTGATTCTTTGAGGCAAAAATTAGTCTGAAGGAGCAGTTCACGCAGGTGGATAAGAACTTGTCAAACATTGTGATTTTAGCTGAATGACCTCACGTGGTCCCTTATCTTCACTGTCTTGATTCTTGCCAGTTCTGGACATGAATCGATGACTATACCAGTGTAAGAAAATCACTTCTATTCTTTGCTTTATCTTCACCTAAATGATCTATGGGACGCTTTCACCTTCACATTTCTAAACTTCCATGTAGGTACACTTCACGACAGAGCTATTTTATTCTCTAGCTTGTAACAAGTCTGTTTAGTTTTTGATAGTGCCACATTCCCTTGTCAGGTTTCACCGTGGATGATGTGCACCCTTTCATTTCATATTCCTTCTTCCTTTGGAAGTTAAAGAATTTAGTAGTTTTGTGGATTTCAGCATTTTTTTTTTAAGATTTTATTTATTTATTTGAGAGAGAGAATGAGAGAGAGAGAGCATGAGAGGGGGGAAGGTCAGAGGGAGAAGCAGACTCTCCGCCGAGCAGGGAGCCCGATGTGGGACTCGATCCCGGGACTCCAGGATCATGACCTGAGCCGAAGGGAGTCGCTTAACCAACTGAGCCACCCAGGTGCCCCAGGATTTCAGCATTTTATCAGCTGTTTCTTTCACGGAAGTTTTGAAAAATAGAAACAGAACAAAACAAAAAACCCAACTATAGTTTTCTATAGTTTATGGTTTCTAAACTATAGAAAAAGCAATCTTACGTAAGAATGAAATGTTTTACTTTAAAAGAGACTTTACGTTTGTATGTATAGAGTCGGAGGGTAAAAGGATAAAATGAACAGCGGACTTCTGGGACTTTGCTTCCAGAATCTGATAGCCAAGATAGCTTTCGTTTTTAGAAAACAGCTTGGTATGGAAAAGCACTGGCTCTCCTAAAATTTTAAAATTCTGTGGCTTAATTTGGGGCATGAGTTTTTTAAAAGATAAGGAAGAATAGTTTTTAAAAAATTATTCTTTTGGTAGTTTCAGCCCTCAGCCTTTCCTTTAAATTTCCCTTCATGTCTTTGTAAAAAGGATGAATATTTTTAGTATACTGTCCTGGCACAAATCCTCCTTTTAGGCTGAGGTTTTTTTTCAACGGTGACTAAAGCAGTGCAGTGCCGTGCAGTTGCTTCCAAGTTCTACATTTCATCTCCTCTTCTGTGGCACCTCCTCCCCCTCTGCAGCTGCTTTGTTGGCAAAGCCCAGATCCTTTGATAGATCTCAATCCCATCATGACCCTTCAAAAGCAGGATTTAACCCAGTTCACCTTTTAGCCTTTCTAATAGCCGTAATTCCTATATTAAACATCTGTGTGACGACTCTGCATACTAGTTCGGAATTACTTATAATTTCCTCTCTGTTTACCATACAGCTCTACCTGTGTTCTTAATACTGATGGTTAGATGTCTTTGAAGAAGTTGCTTATTGTTTTTAGGCCTTCAGCTATTGTTAGGAACACCTATTCCATATTTTCAAAGAAACTGATGTCATTTCATAAGTTTATTATGCAACTCAAGATATAAGCACTGTATACAGATATCAAAAGAAAATTTTGAAGTTGTCTTCAGTTTAGGAAACAAGCCTCTGTTCACGAGTAATTTGATTTATATACTCACCAGCAATCAGCAGTTTTTGCTTTGGTGTGTGCAACTAGTAAGTTGTTTCCCACTATGTGTTCAGAAAAGAGCTCTGTTAGGTTCTCAACTCTGCTGTGTGCATTGGATGTTGACTGGTTTGCAGCCTCAGAAAAGATACTGCTGTCAAGTCAATTAGAGAAAAATAGGCAGCCTTACAGGTGGCATCTCCTGCTAGCCTTCCATTGCATTTGTTACACGTCTGGTCACATCTGCCGTTGGTTTGTTTTTCTGCCTCAGAGTCTCATTTTCAGTTGAGTGCTTCAGTCTGAGTGAAGGGTGGCACCACTGGAAGTATTTCCCTTGGCCCATGCCCAGGCAACACCAATTGTGAGTCTCTTTAGGTGGAAAGCTCATCATTTTGTATTTAAAATGCAAGTACTTCAGTGTCTGTGCTTCAGATTAATTGAATACATATCTTTTCCAGTTTTATCTTGTTTTCATTCAAATTTCTGTAGGCTAAAATTTCATTTATTAGAAGCTCAAAAATGGAGTTTATTTTAATTAAGGCCTTTAAGAAATAAAAATTACCCTTTAGAGTAAGAAAAGCTAAGAATCCAAAGAATGGAAAGATGACTAATGAAGACAAACTAGACAGAATTTGATTGATTCATATTTAGGATTTCTTCTAATTCAGTTGAGAACTGAAGGTATTTACTTTAGCAAAATATGTGTGTGTACATACACGTGTGTGTTTATCACACATATATAGTAAAAAGTAGTATTGGGGTGCCTGGGTGGCTCAGTCATTTGAGCATCCCACTCTTGATTTCGGCTCAGCTCATGATCTTGGGGTGGTGAGATAGAGCTCTGAGTCCCTGCTCAGTGGGGAGTCTGCTTGAGATTCTCTCCCTCTGCTCTTCCCCTGCTTGCAAGTGTGTGTACTCTCTCAATAAATAAATCTTAAAAAAAAAAAGAAAAAGAAAAATAGTATTTGGTAAGAATGTTAAGTAGTCCGTGTACTTTTGTAATTAATGCACCCAAACTATTAAGCTATTTTTCTTCTTTTCCCTTTCCTATACCTGCCTTCATCCCATAATAATATACCCCCTAAGTAAATATGTCAGTGAACTCTGAGAACTTTTGAACAGGCATGGTTGCTATTAAGTTCAGCATTTATAAACTAAAAATCTATTCCAGATGTGATGGCCATCAGGAATTTAGTAAACCGGATTAAGTTACCAAATCATGTTTGAATAGTGAACTAAAAACTATAAACATTAGACCGAAAAGGGAAAAAAACAAAAACTAAAGCTTACGCTAGAAATGGGGGGGTGCGATTTCAATGGAAAGGATGAGATGAATTATACTCAATAAATTTTGATTGATTGTGCCAAACACCATTCTGGGTGCTGGGTGATGATACAGGGCTAAAAGACAGATGGGCAAAATTTGTGCCCTAAAGGTATGCTGAGACATGTATAGTTACTACAGTTGTGTGTACTGAGATATAAGTTGCAACAGTTGTAATAAATGCTGTCTTAGAGCCAGGTGATGTGGGAGTGGATAAAGGGTACCTAATCCAGCCTGAAAAAGTCAAGAATCTGCATCTTAATGGACAACAAGGAGTCCTCAGGCAGGTGTGGAGAGGGCATTCCAAAGAGCACAGCAGAGAGTAAAGAAGTGAGAGAATATGTGTACATTTGGGTATAACAGTTTTCTCTTAGGGTATATGTAACGGAATCTGAGGTGAGGTGCAGGGAGCAGCAGCTTTGTTCATCGGGGGCCTTATTTTGCTTCATTCTGATTTTAACCAAGCTGATGTCTTGATCTGGTTTGCCCAAACTAAATGAATCCCATAGACTTAAGAAATAAACTGCATGTTTAGGTTGAAAGAGTTCATGATATTTCTAATATCATTGTGGAGGCTATTTTCTAGTTTGGAGATTAATGATTTATGTATTAAATTTTAAAGGACAATGAAACCATTCTTTTCCTGTGAAAGTCTCAAAGTGTTCTACAAATGGTAACTCATTACACCAAATGTTTTAACACTTAGCCTCACACTGCATTTGATCGTTCACTTTATAAGCAGGTGGCATTGGGCTGTCAGCACAATGATAGCAAAATGACAATGATAGAGGGGAGGAGAATGCATGTAAAACTCTGCAGCTGGAGAATGGTGTCTGGAGCAGAGCCGAAATAAGGCAGATCTCTGTTCCATGACTTTCTGCATTCACCTTCCCTTTCGGTGCTCTAAAACCTTGTTATTCAAAATGTAGTCCAAGAACCAGCAGCGTCAGCATCACCTGGGAATTTGGAAATGCAGAGTCTCAGGCCCCAATCCCAGACCTACTGAATCAGAGTCTGCAGTTTAATAAGGTCCTCATGTGATTCCTGTTCACCTTGGAGTTTGAGAAGTACCATTCTAAAGAATAAATCTAAGGGTTTGCAAAGTTCTTTAGTTAACTGAGCCTTCTGGCTTAGGACAGTAAGTTTTTTGGAAATGGATATCAAGGTTACTAGCTATTATTGTATTTTCTTTTTCCAAGTGGGTGGATAAAGATTAGAAATGCAGTTTCTGGAGTTGGATTGCCTGGATTCAAATCCTGGCTCTGCCACTTGTGCATAACTAGTACACAATTCGTTGAGGGCAACTACAATGAGCAAAGGCATACCCCACCACCCCACTGATCTGTGGTAGACCTGTAGTTGAGTTCAAATAAGCCTTTGTTATGTGTTTGGGAGCAGGAGAGTTCGTTTTTGTCATTATTTATTGGATTCATGGTTTCTTGATCTTAACCGTCAGTTATTGAAAAGAAGGTAGCATTTGGGAAACTTTTCCATCTTTAGTAAAGAAATGTTCTTACTAATGAATAATAGACTTTTCAGCTTCACTGTAAAAAAGTATATAAGTAGATTTAAAAGTGATGGCAAATCTCATTAAATTATAACCTACTAAGAAATAGTAGGAACATTTTACTAACAGAGCTTAAAGATTTTTACTAGTGCTCTGATCTTGTTTTCTACAGGGGGCAGCTGGAATTTTATGCTATGTGGGAGCCTATGTCTTTATCACTTACGATGACTATGACCACTTCTTTGAAGATGTGTATACTCTCATCCCTGCAGTAGTGATCATAGCTGTAGGAGCCCTGCTTTTCATTATTGGCCTAATTGGCTGCTGCGCCACAATCCGAGAAAGCCGCTGTGGACTGGCCACGGTAAGTTACCACTTTACTGACTACACGTGTCATCATCATATGTGGGAGTTTTTCGTTTGTGTTACTGGCTTCAATCGGGCATGAAACTCCATAGCCTCTTTGGCTCTTATGATTGAAACAGAATTAGCACTTGTCTTCTAGCAGTTATCTCAGGTAATGTTTTTATATCAAGACAATATTTAGAGCAGTTTGTATTTAATGTTTGACACTGTTTTCTTCCTTACAGTTTGTCATCATCCTACTCTTGGTTTTTGTCACAGAAGTTGTTGTAGTGGTTTTGGGATACGTTTACAGAGCAAAGGTATGTTGTCTACTGTAATCCGTATGTTTTTAAAAGGCAGCTTAAGTGTTTCAAGTGAAATAGAACAAATTCATTTTATCAGAGTACACATTTTCTTTTGCCTTACTTCAGTTTAGTCACTGCTTTAAAAATCTAAAGTTAATTAGAAATTGCACAGAGAACAGAATGGTGGTTGCCATTCGTGGGGGTTGGGTGAAATGGGTGAGGGGAGTCAAAAGGTACAAACTTCCAGTTATAAGGTAAATAAGTCATGGAGATAAAATGTACAGCATGGCAACTGAAGTTAGTAATACCGTAATGTATGTTTGAAAGTTGCTAAGGGAGTAGATCTTAAAAGTTCTCTCATCACAATAAAAAAATTTTATAATTATATATGGTGAAGGAATTAATTAGACTTCTTATGGTGATCATTTTAGCATATAAAAAGTTTAAACCATGCTGAAACTAATATAATGTTAGACGTCAATTTTACCTCAATTTAAGAAAACAAAATGCGTTTAGTAAACACAAGTCCAGTTTCCTGGCTTAATAAAGAGTACATATCAGAGAACTGAGCTTTTGTTTTATGTTTAAGAATACGGCAACAGGGGCGCTTGGGTGGCTCAGTTGTTAAGCGTCTGCCTTTGGCTCAGGTCATGATCCCAGGGTCCTGGGATTGAGTTCCACATCCGGCTCTCTGCTCAGTGGGGAGCCTGCTTCTGTCTCCCTCTACCCCTCTCCCTGCTTGTGCGTGTGCTCTCCCTCTCTCTCGCTCTGCTGTCTCTCAAGTAAATAAAAGAATCTTAAAAAAAAAAAGAATACTGCAACATTTCAGGCTCTTTCTGAACACTTATTTCCACTGAAGCTACCTATGTAGGCATCTAAGATTGTGTTTAATGTGGTTTCAGATCTCAGGAAGTCTCCTGAAAGCTTACTTGGTTATTTCAGTTTTTATGTACTTTTCTACTACAGTAATTTTTTTCTACAATGTATCATGTGCTGTGTCAGTTGGGGTCTTATGAGAAGCATATGCAAAGATGGCATTCAGTGTACATGGATTATGTTAGAGGAAAGGTCTGTGAGAGAACATGGGGAAGGAACCAGGACTGGCTGAGAGCTATCAGGCCTGATGCAAGTGTAATCCCAAGTACTTGTTAGTGTAATTATGTAGTTAATTAAATACTAAGTCTAAGAAAAAAATGAGTATATGAGAAAAAGGAAATTGAATAATTTGAAGAGACTTGGTAAAAACAAGTAGTTACTGAAACATTTTTGATCAAATCAGATATGGGTATGATCACTATATAGGTTTAGGGGAAATTTATTAATATTTAATAGATTCTACACTTTGATTGTGTTGCAATGTCTCCACAGTTTAAAGAAACCAAACTGGAAGTCACTGTCAATGTATTGAGGGTATGATTTGTGCAGAACAAATGATAAAGAACTCTAATCAATTGATCTCATACAAAGACAAGACAAGCTTGCGTCTTAAGATCAGTGTGAAATATACATTTCTGTGCTTTAAGCTAAATGAAAATGTTTACTTTTTAAAAAGTCTGTGACTTTCTCAGTTAACCAACCAACTACTCCTGACCATGGGAGGCTTCTCCCATTTGTTAAATACAGTATAACTGCATTTGCTACTGATTTTTACATGTGGGGTAATAATGAAAAACACAAGATATTCTTTGGATTGAGAGAGTATGTGAAAGTCAATTTAGGTCATGGTTAGGTCCTTTCATTCCACAAATATTTGTTAGGAATGGTTTTAGAACTTTGTCAAAATCATAGATGGGCTGCTTGGATTTGAAACTATATTTGACAGACGTATATATTTGTGTACCATATATCTACCCAGCTCACCCAGTTGACCTTTGAACAACACAGGGGTTTTATATGTGTAAGTTAATTAATATATGACATAAATCTCTGGAACTTAAAGGGTAGAGATCAGCCAAAGGGTTTACCTACTGTCCTATATATTCTCTACCCAAGACATGCTAGAGAATATTCAGCTATCACCTACATTTAATTTCACCTGTCAGCTGAAGGAAAAATTTGCTTTAAAATTTGATTCATCCAGGCCCACCTCTAACCTCAGGCTATTTCATGTGGTTGATTTGTTCATGCAGAATTTCCAGCTAACCCTTAACTAAACTTTATAGGCACACTCTAGTGACTGTTCCACATGGAGGAGAGGTTATAGCCCTTGTAAACCTATAGAGGTTTTAAGCTCCTTCTGGAGCTTAAATTAGAGGCTGTTGTAATATCTGATCACAATTCACTTTCCTTATTTGAGGCAGGATAATAGAAACATTAAACCAACAAGCAAGTAATTTTTTTAAATATTTTTATTTAAGAGAGAGAATGAGATAGAGCTTGAGAGGAGGGAGGGTCAGAGGGAGAAACAGACTCCCTGCTCAGCAGGGAGCCCGATGCAGGACTCGATCCCGGGACTTGATCCCGGGACTCCAGGATCATGACCTGAGCTGAAGGCAGTCGCTTAACCAACTGAGCCACCCAGGCACCCAGCAAGTAATTTCTGAACAAGATAGTTTTCTCTTTTTTCCCCTTGTTGAATTCTGCTACTGTGTATCTTCTAAAGATTTAGCCTGGGGACTCTGAACTCCTTAAGGGCGAGGCAGTCATCTTTGTCCAGCAGTGGCAAGGTGCCTGGCACAATAAATATTATGAATTGGTCGACCGATTGAATGAAAAAAAATTACTTGTCAAGACTTCTAGTCTTATTTAATATATCGAAGTGTTCTACTCTTCTAATTTGTAAGTATTTAACTTTCTTTCCCTCAGAATGAGCTGCGGATGAATAGTTAGTCTGAGAAGTTTGTTCAGATTTCCTCAGTGCATAAATTCCCTGTATGGGAGGGGGGACATAATAAGTTTTCTGATTTCTGTTTTAGAAGAACTAAATTGAGGACTTCATTTTCCTTTGCTTCTTTAAAAAAAAAATGCCTTGGTTCTGGACATAGAAAAAGATGACTGTGGGTTGAGATCCTACCATCTATGCCCATCCTGAGGAACGAGGGGTCCTGCCAACTTGAACACCAAGACAGCCATTGCCAGCCACTCCCTTCTTGCCCCTCTTTCCTCTTTCTTAGTCACTTCGTCTTCTTTTCTTTCACCTTTCTTGCTATTTTGCCTGTTTTTGCTTTCCACCTACAGTACTGTTTAAGGCTAAACAGTCTGCCTTAAATTAATTAATTGGAGTATAACTTTAAAGCTATGATAAAGACATAATAGAAGTATTCTTACTGTAATTTACAGTTTTAAATCAAAGGCATAATATGCCAATTTAACATTCAAACCATTGGTACATAAGGTACCAGGCAGCTATGCCCCAAAAAGGAATGCATTGGATTATGCCCCTACTGGTTATCAACTTTATAGTTGTATCACATAACTGGTATAATTACTAAGTAGGTCTAATCATCTTAGAAGGGTAAGGAGAATCTGGTACAAGCAAATTTTACTAAATGACACTTGCCACTTTAGTGATTGACAGCAGTAAGTTATGAAGAGTTTATTTCCTGTCTCCTCATTCACACAACATTGAACTGCACTTTTTTCATAAAGGGCCACTTTTAAGGACTGATTTTTTTTTTTTTTTACCTGCGATTACCTTTGTATATTTGGCCAAATCTAAACATTGAATAAATAAAATGGAAAGCATGTTCGTACTTGTTCCAAAAATGGGGGGTTTTAAAGTTCTTTTATTTTTACCTCCTGTAGGAAATGAAAATGAGCAGGTCCAACCCACTAAAAGTTTATTTGAAATGGAAGGCAGTTCATTTATAATTTACAATATCTGTCTCAAGTTTCAGCTTCTTTCTCCCTCTTGAATAGATTATTAATCTGCCATCTTGCACACAGTCTTCTCTTTGAATGCTTTTAATCTGTGTGATGTAATATGTCTGAATTTTCACCTGAATCTCTATGGAGACAGGAAGGGAGAAAATTTTTTTTCTAAAAGAAATTCACAGAGATATCTGGCAACTTGCCATACATGTCATTTAGGTAGTTTAGCCGGAGCCTTGACAAATGTTAATTTTACCAGTATTATTAAGGGACTGAATTCTTTGTTTTGATTCAGGTGGAAAATGAGGTTGATCGCAGCATTCAGAAAGTATATAAGACCTACAATGGAACCAACCCTGATGCTGCTAGCCGGGCTATTGATTATGTACAGAGACAGGTGAGCTCTCTTGAGATGAATTTCTTTTTTTGAGGGCCAGTCACTGTTGCGTTAACCTTAAACAAACTCTATTACTATGTAAATTAGACATGTATTTTCATAGCCATGGATTAGCTTCATGATGTGTGTAACATTTTTACCTTCACCCTTGAAAAGTTTTTTCCACTGTCACCTAATCAAAGCCAGATAAGAAGCGTTTGATTTTTTACCAAAAAATAATTAGCCAGGAAGGTGATAATGGAAGAGAGGTGTGGTCACAGGAAAGGTGGGAGCCTCTAGGGACTTCAGAGGAGGTAAGAGGTCTTTCATATACCTTTAGAAAGCAAGACTAGAAAAGATAGCATTGGGAAAAAAAAAAAAAAAGGACGATTTGAAATACATGAAGGTAGAGAGAGAATAGTATAGTACCCATAAACCTACCCCAAAATTGTCAGTTTTTTGTCAGTCTTATTTCATCTTACCCCACATATCTTTTGCTAATTATCTTAAAGCAAATCCCAGACATTTTAGAGAAAATATTTGAAGCACATTGTCATTGGAAATAATATTTAACTCAGAACCAGATTTTTAACATGTAAGATATGAAGATTTTTCTTAGCTATAAATTACCGTTGCGGATAAGGTACTTTTCATGTGGAGGTTCTAAAATTATTATTCGTATGTGGCTATTTAAATTAAAATTTAAAATTTAGTTCCTTAGTCATCCTAGCCACATTGTAAGTGCTCACTTGCCTCAGGTGGCTAGTGGCTAACATGTTCAGCATGCAGACAGAACATTTCAATCATTGCAGAAAGTTTTATTGGACCTCACTGGTCTAGAGTAGCTTAAAGCTTTGCAGTGCACAGAATTCTAAAGTTCAACACAGATATATGTGTCCTCTGAGGACTAATATTTCTCTTCTCTTCCCCACTAGCTGCATTGTTGTGGAATTCACAACTATTCAGACTGGGAAAACACAGACTGGTTCAAAGAAACCAAAAACCAGAGTGTCCCTCTCAGCTGCTGCAGAGAGACCGCCAGCAGCTGTAATGGCAGTCTGGCCCACCCCTCTGACCTTTATGCTGAGGTAAATCTGGTTTCTTGGCCAAGACTTGAATCTAGCTTGGTAACCTGTTTTTCTCTGTGAATCTTCTTTACCTAGAACTTTTCTATACTCTTTTGCTTGTCTTTAATGCTGTGTTATGTTATTGTAAATCCTTTTTAAGTGCATTGTTTCTCCCGCTTTGGGTTTCTGTTATTTCCATTTCTGCCACTGAGTAATATTTGACCTTGCAGCTTTCACTTTTAAAAAAGACTTCTAATGAGGATGACTGTGTGTTTCAGGGATGTGAGGCTCTAGTTGTGAAGAAGCTACAAGAAATCATGATGCACGTTATCTGGGCGGCGCTGGCGTTTGCAGCTATTCAGGTAAGCGCAGCTAGCCGACGCGTTGTTATCCGAGTGTCAGCCATGAATGGTTTTAATCATTAAGTGCAGTTAAAACTTTGTGTATATAGATAACTTGGAAGTGATTGAGGAACAGGCCACCAGTTTCCAACATCTTCCGTTTCCTGTCTCTAGACCTAGACCCAAAATGGTTCCAAGAAACCAGAGATCTGGGTGTGGGGACTGTGTTTGAGGGGACTCTGCTTTATATTCTTGACTTGAGTAGTGAGTGGCCTGCTCAAAATACATACTGTTCCCAGTCCCAGTGTATTCTTGGGAGGTATTTTTATAGAACTTCACAGAATTTTTAACAATTGTACTGCTTTATTTCACTTTGGAAATGGAAAGCTTTTTTTCAATCTTCTTGTACTACTTCTGGCTCTTTATTTTTCTGTCCTCAAGGGTTTTATATGTCTATATATGTAAATCAAGAACTGGTACTACAGCACTAGTCCCTTAAACTGATAGAAGCAGTTTCGTTGCTTTATAGAAAAGACCAAGTGAAAACTGAGGTTCTAACCTATTCTGTATTTGTGGACTTAGTTTTTTTAGACTGACAGCCATCGAGGAGTCCGTGTCATCACTTGGCACCTCTGCCAGTGTACCATGCCATTTGGGTAGCTGAGGGGACTTGTTTTCCCAACTCCTACCAGTGAAAACAGTCTTTTTCCTACCTAATAATGGCATGCGCAGAGTAGCTGGTGATTGTTTAATTACCTCTCACTTTATCTACTCCTTCCTCCCTCCTTCACCTGAAAACAAATAAGAAAGACAGCTATTTTTCTGCTCAGTACACCTACATTGCTAGTTTCTCGGGTGTATACAGTATATCTTGGGGATTATGTTAGAGGAATCTTAAACTGAGAATAGCCAGTTGTTTGGAATGATTGAGAATCCTTTGTGTCAGATCTAGTTCTCAGAGTGTTCTTTTGGTAGTTCTTGAAATATGCTTCAGGCCTAGAGAATCTATTTTAAGAAAGTGTAGGTATCTTTTAACTGTTAGATAAAACCAATGTAATTGCTAGTTTAAGTGTAAGTTGCTTGGATTGCCTGCTCTCTGTATATTTGAACAAAAGCTAGTGTATTTAATGGGAAATGTCTTTTAAAATGGCAAAAAGGTGATTGTTTACTTTGCTGGTATGCAAACAGCCCTGAAATGATTCATTAAAAAGCCTAGTTCTTTATTTGCTATGGTCTCTGCCCTTCTAAGCATTTACTTTGTGGCTCAGCATAGCAGTAATATGTTGATCAGGTGGCATGTATTTCATATTTTGATTGTGCAAACACATGCATTTAGCTAAAAATAATGAAACATAAGGGAGGTCTTTTTTCCCAAGTGAAATCCTGGTCTGTGCATTCTTAATGATTTTATTTGTGTTAATAAATCAGCACATACTAGCATGCAGCAAAACTTTGAAACTGTAAGGTGCTTGTGATCATGAAATATGCAGCATGTATAAAGAAGACTGATGAAAATCGTTACTTTAGCTATGTCCCTCATCTAGTTACGCTTATTAACCAGGTAGATAGTGCTTCATTATATTTTTCAGTGGGGGCTAATAAATATTTTAACTAGTGTCTTAATTTATGTATGCCTTCTCATATGCATTTTATACTTAAATCACCCTGATTTAGGTAATGGCTGATAAAGATTTGATGTGTTCAGTTCAGCAAAACTCAGGAAAGGATTCAGAGCTTTCACAGACTCAAAGCTTAGTGGTTTTGAAAATTTAAAAACTTTGGTTTTAAGGGAAAAAACATACATTTGAAATAATGAAAGAATTTTCCCTAATGTTTTCTTTTTTAAAAGAGTACCTGTAAATGTTCTGAACTTTTGATACTCAAAATCTGATCTAGATTGGTGCCCTTGGTGTGGAAAACCTGAGCAAAGGCAAAAACAGCTCAAAGATCAGTGATCTCTTATGCTTGTATGCCCATCCTGATAGAGAAAGAGCTAGAAGGACGCTTGGAGAGTCTGTAGTCCCTGTTTCCTTTGTTTTAAAGGCCATGAAAATGAGGGGGCAGGGGGACAAAGATAGTATGACTAATGACCATCAGTGAAGCTTGAACCCTGGCCTCTTGTACTCTGCCTCCAATTACAAAGTGAAGAATTAAGGTTCTCAAAAGATTAAATTCTCCAATTCTGTTATGAAACCAGACAGTTAATTGGCACTTCAGCTTAAGAAAATACACAGTGTGATAGCATTGAAATATCATTGGCACTTTCCTTCAGGTTCTAAAGTGGGAAAGCTCTTAAGAGCTGTCATAGGAAGTATGGTTTTAAATAATGTTAGGGGCACTGGCTGGCTCAGTCGGAAGAGCATGTGACTCTTGATCTTGGGGTCGTGAATTTGAGCCCCATGTTAGGTGTAGAGATTTCTTAAAGAAAACTTTAAAAAAAATAATGTTAAAGATTGAAAGATGATTTTTGGTAGTATATCAAAACTGTTGGAAGCATTGTCTTTTTTGAATTTGAGTGTGATTTATGGCACTGTGTTAAGCTACATTTTACTGAAGTTCTAAGGCATAAGGTGAATTTAAGAAGAAATTTTTTTTAAGATTTTATTTATTTATTTGACAGAGAGCGAGAGAGCGCAAGCATGGGGAGCACAAGCCAGAGGGAGAGGGAGAAGCAGGCTCCCCACTGAGCAGGGGGCCTGATGCAGGAGCTCAATCCCAGGACCCTCGGGTCATGACCTGAGCCCAAGGCAGCCGCTTAACTGCTTAACCAGTTGAGCCACCCAGGCGCCCTGAAGAATTTTTCTCATAAACCTAATTGACCAATAGAAGGCTCTAGGTCACGTGTTAGCCATCTGTAGGTCCTATGGGCCAAGTCTAGCCCACTCTCTCTTTTTGTGTTAGGCACACTCAATTATATATTATCTGTGACTGTTTTTGTGTTACAGTGACAGAGTTGCATGGTTGTGACAGACTGATTTTTGTCTCTTGGTTCACAAAACCTAAAATATTTACTATTTCCCTTTAAGAATACACTTGTTGACCCTTGTTCTAGTCTAGTTAAGTGATCTAGGTTTGAGTAGGACCAAAATGTTCAAGTTAAAAAAAACCCTGAAAAATAGTAGTTAATTGTTACAACAGGATTTTTTAATGTGAGAGAAAGATTTTTAAAATTTTGCTACGTTCCCTATTTTGTTAGCTTTCGTTTTTAATTTTACTTTTAAGTAATCTCCACACCCAACATGGGGCTTGAACCTACAACTTCGAGATCAAGAGTCACATGTTCCACCAAATGAGCCAGCCAGGCATCTCTTTATTTTGTTAGCTTTTTAAAATCACCAAGATAGGGCGCCTGGGTGGCTCAGTCGGTTGGGCGACTGCCTTCGGCTCAGGTCAGGATCCTGGAGTCCCGGGATTGAGTCCCGCATCAGGCTCCCTGCTCGGCGGGGAGTCTGCTTCTCCCTCGGACCCTCCCCCGTCTCGTGCTCTCTTTCTCAAGAAAATAAATAAAATCTTTAAAAAATAAATAAATAAATAAATAAATAAATAAAATCACCAAGATATTTGACTTCTGTGAGCATAGCCAGCCTCTTAAATTAGCAAATGATCAATTAGGAATTTTATATCTAAAAGATCTGGTCATAATAATAGACAAAAATCTAGGTTTGGATTTGGCAGTCTCTTAAGTATCTGCTGTGAGTGAGGCTTTCTGCAAAGACAGTATGGGAGGAGCGCCTGGGTGGCTCAATCCTTAAGCATCTGCCTTCGGCTCAGGTCATGATTCCAGGGTCCTGGGATCGAGCCCCGCATTGGGCTCCCAGGGAGCCTGCTTCTCCCTCTCCCTCTCCCCCTCCCCCTGCTTGTGTTCCCCCTCTCGCTGTATCTCTCTGTGTCAAATAAATAAAATCTTTAAAAAAATAAAATTTAAAAATTAAAAAAAAAAACAGTATGGGGAAAAAGGGGAACTACCTGATGTCTTTGGAGTCTCATGAAGTTGGCATGTCCTCAAGAAAGAGTGATCAAGAGCAAACTTTCACAGAGGACTGTTTCCCAAAGCCATGTTGCTTTTTTCTGGTCTATATGCCAAGTGTGAAGGAGGTTGAGCCTGCTATTTCCTTCCTGCTTCTTGATTGCCAGATATTCATTAAAATGACTTAAAATACATTAGTGAATAACACTTCAGATTGGGCCCCCAGATAGTTAAAATCTAGTGGGTTGATTCTGACACACTTTTAAAGAAATATTTCAAGTAATTCTTCTTTAAAAATTTAAACCAAGGCTTGGGAAGATAACTCTTGAATGACTAGGTTTTGTTTTGTGTATCACAACCAGGGTATTGGCACTGATATAATCCACCAATTTTATTCAGATTTTTCATTTCTATTTGTATATTCGGTTCTGTATAGTTTTATGACCTGGTAGGTTCCTGTATCTACCGCCACAATCAAGACACTGAACAGTTCTAACACCACAAGGATTCTACCTAGTACCCTTTTGTAACTAACTGCACCCACCTCCATCCTGTGCCTCTTCCCCCCGTACCCTGGCAACCACTAATCTGTTCTCCATTTCTAAAATTTTTGTCCTTTCAATATATAAATGGAACCATATGGTATGTAACCTTTGGTTCTTTCGTATGTCTTACTGTGGCTGCATAGTATTTCATTTTGGGGCCTACTTTATAATTTATCTAATTTACATTAATGGGCACTTATATAAGTCTTGCTATTCTAGAAATGCAAGTAGTGAATATCCTCTGTATGCACGTACAGTCTATAGCTGCGAAGTTGAAGAGTCAGTGGCTTTTTGATAGGTATTTCCACATTTTTCTCAGAAAAGGGTGTTTCCAGTGTGCAGTTTCAAAACCTTGTATAGCAATACCTATTTTCCCATAATGCCCCCTACATAGTATATTCTAGAACATTTTAATCCTTGGCAGTCGGTTTTTTTAATCACCACTTGCCTCTCTATTTAGTGATCATTTTTTGCAGTTGCTTGGTGTTATATTTAGACTAAGTGCAGATTAGTTCTCATGGCTTGAATATTGCAGGGAAAATTTTTATTGCAAGAAATAACTCTGGAGCTAAAATATTTCCAAGTCTATTGTTGGAAAATTTTAATAATCAGTGAAATTTCAGTATAGCAGAGCTTTGGCAGTGAGCCTGTAGTACTTAGTGATGAGGTTTGGACTGTAAGAAGTTAATGTGTAGAGCTTAATGTTCATAAACAGACTCATTCTCAAGCATGAGTAGGGTTTTATCAAGCTTATTTAATTGTTTTAAAATTGGTACAAGTTGACTTAATTGAAATAAAAGTCAGGAAAAGAAATGATGCTTATTTCAGACCCCATTTGAGAATGCTGACTCCTTCAGTAGAAGTTAACCAACTGAAAGGAATGTGAGGGAAGTGGGATAGGAAGAGAGATTTTTTTTCCAGAAAATCAGTAATTTCTGAGCTTAGCATTTTTATTACTCAATTTAACATTGCCTGGGAATATAATTATAGCTGTTTTAAGAATATTTTGATGATGTACAGTGAATGGAAATGTATTTCTATAGGAATTAGATACAAAACATGTCCAGACCTGGCTAAAGATATTTACTGAATTTTAACAATATCCACTTTTAAAATGTCTTCAAGGTGCTTTGTGCTGTTACTGCACTTAGCAAATATTGATATAATGAAACTGATGGATTTAAGCAGCAAGAATATATCCTGAATGGGTAGAAAGAATATGGGCTAATTGAGGGCAGAAATTGGAGTGTGTGACTTTTATATACCATGGAGAATTCAGTTTGAGGACATCCGTATTCTCTGTGTATTGTGTCTCATTAGTAATCTTCCACTTCAAACTTTTGAGAGCTTGTTTATGGATCCAGTACATTTTGTTGAAATTGAATGACCCCATATGTACAGAAAGCCTTGCCTTTTAAAATCAAATAACTGAGACCTTTCACTGCCAATGAAAAGTTAGAACAGCAAATTAACTTACTTTTATTTAGCTCTTTGGTTACTATTTATATTTTGTAAGAAGCCAGGTCAAAATTCTAGAATCATTTTCTCTTTAATCCAGTTTAATCCTCTAGCTTATTCAAAATAACATGGCATGACTTTATTACAATTCCAGTTTGCTGCCACAGAAGGATTAGGGCTTATTAAAATAAAATGATGAAGGAAGAGTGACCTTTAAAAAATAATGTGTGTGTAATACAGAGCCAAATCTGGATTTCAAAAATAGTAAATAATTATGAAAGAGACAAAAACCTTCAAACCATTTTTTTGGCATCAAGATTAGTTTTCCACCCTAGGGCTTTTGGGCTATTCATGTACTGAATTTTGTGGATTGTTAATAAAGCCTGTGTCCCCAAATCCAGATGTCTGAAAAGACCACCAGTAACTTTCCTTAATACACATAGTCTTGGTCATTCCACTCCCTAGACCTTTGTTGTCCAGTATGGTAGCCACTAGCCAGTTACATGTGTCCCAAGTTTAAATTAATTTACATAAAATAAGAAACATAATTGGGCAGTTGCACTAGCTACATTTCAGGCGCTCAGTAGCCCCTTGTGGCTAGTGGCTAGGTTTGACAGCTCAGTTTGATAGAATGTTTCCATCATTGCAGGAAGTTCTTTTTTAGAGCGCTGTTGTTGATTGAGAGTGGGGATGGCAGGAGGAGAGTCTTGTGTCTCTGCTCTTCACATATTGTTCTCAGGTCTGAGACAGGGAAACTAAAAGTTGTTCCTAAAAAGTTAATGTATTCATTAGAAATTACTTCTGTTCCTGTTGTTATTGTGGAACTTTGAAACCGCTCCATTGCCAACCAAGAAATACACACTTGCTATGAGAGAGCCTTCAAGCCTTCTTTTTTCCCCTGTTGTTTTCTTCCCACAGCTGCTGGGCATGTTGTGTGCATGCATCGTATTGTGCAGAAGGAGTAGAGATCCTGCTTATGAGCTCCTCATCACCGGCGGAACCTATGCATAGTAGAAAATGCAAGCCTGAGCTTTTTTTAGTCTTGTTGTTTTGATTTGGAAGGTGAATTGAGCAGGTCTACTGCATTAGCGGCCTGCGTTCATTTAGTTAAAGCACACAGGTGTTGGACAAAGCAGCTTGGCTCTTCATGTGCCCACCTACTTCCCTACCCACCCAGGATTTTCTATTCCTCTAGTCTAGCTGACTCTTCATGTCCCTAAGTTTTTAAGTATGGCAGTATATGTTCTCATTTCAGAACCATTTGCAGGTTGCATAGTGTGGGAGAACCAAAGGAGGGCCTGGGCCTGCTTCTGTGACCTCCGTGCAGTAACAGGGCTGCTGCCAGAGTATCACTGGGCCCTTTCAGTCTTCATGATGGAGAACTCGGGGCCAAAGGTTTTTGGGGGGAGGGGAAGGAAGCCAGCTGCGGTTAAAGTTAACACCAGATGCTGTGCCCCTCGTCAGTGTCCTTTTAAAAAAACATATACTGTAGTCCAATAAGATAGCAACTGTATAAAAATTGCTAAAATAGATTTTAGAATCATACAGTGTGTCTCTTGGTTCATCTTCAAAATCAGACTGGTTTTTGAAACTAGCAGTTTTTAATCAAAGCTGGCTTTATAGGAGGAGTATAATGTATGCACTACTGTTTTAAAACAATTAGTGTGAGTGTGTGTGTGTATTTTTGTATGATTGAGCCCATCCATTATAAGTCTAAACTCGTTAGGATTAATGTACCCATGTAGACTAGCAAAATAGTATGTAGATGTGATCTCAGTTGTAAATAGAAAAATCTAATTCAATAAACTCTGTATCACCCCTCAACATGTACTTTGTAATTATTTGGGGATACTTACAGTTCCCAAGCAGCAGTGTAATGTTTTAAATGTTGGTGCTGTCTACAGTTCAAGATTTGCATGTGTTTTAATTATATCAGTTGCCAAATTCTAAAGGCCTTGGGATCCAGAAAACCACAGATGCTTTTCAGTCCAGTATATCCTACAAATATGGAACACCTAAGCATGTGCATGACTCCGGCATATGGCGATGATGCTCTCCTGGCCTTTAAGGATAATGTGGAGTCCTGTTATAGGAGACATAGACAGAAACAGATAATTTCCATACAGGGCAATGATTGTAGTAACAAAAGAATGGGAGTGTGGAGGAGGTACCCAGAGAGGTCAGAGGCAACTTCCTGGAGAAAAGGCCTGAACTCAGATAGGCTTTGTGGGAGAGGGCACACAGGAGTGTGAGATGGGTTAGAGTGTTCAGGGAGCTATAAGTAGCTTGTTGTGCCCGGAGCTTAAAATACAGGGCTGGGAAAAGAAGTTGAAGGGGCAAAGCCCAAGTCCTCTGGGGTGTCCCACTACGTTCTGTGGAGGTCCAGTGTCCCTGGAAAGTGGAGGCAGCCATGTGTGGTGCCAGTGGACGTGTTGTGGATGTCCCTGTGGCTCCGGTAGGGAGGATGATTGGAGGGACTTGACTGGGCTTCAGTGAGAGGGGTGTAGGGGTTTGGGGGAGAGCAGAAGAGCGGTTGGTGGCAGTGGGGAGGGCGATGGTGGAATTCCATCACTGGTTGCATGTGGGACGGAGAGAAGGGAGAAGAAGGAGTCTAGCATGAGGCCCAGGTTTCTGGCTCAGTCGGCTGAGGAAACAGAATTAGGAATAGAGCTAGGGAGCAAGTAAGGACCACATCTAGGGGTATGGGTTCACATTCCGTTTGGATCTGTCCATTTGGGGGAAATTATGCAGGTCTATCCTGCCTGAAAATGGAGGTGTTGAGAGAGGGGTAAGAACTAACTCCTATTAACGAAGCGGAAGTTAACTAAAACATTCATGGCTTCTGAGAACTACAGGTGGTTGCTAGGTCCCCTGCCCCATCCCCCTCTTGTCCCTACAGGTTGCACAGCAGGCAGGGATGCTTTGCTTGTCCTCACGACTTTCACTAGCGCCTTCTCCCCCTAGTCCTGTCTCTTTTCCTTCCCTTTCCGGTTTTCTGTTGTACCATTCTGTGTCTGCCCCGTCACAGATTAGACCTGGGGTGAGCAATATCTGGACTGATGTTTTCTGCACGGCAGAACTGAGCCTCTAGAGTAGGAAATTGCTTCGGGAAAATGTGCCAATTCCTAGCCTAGTCTTTGAACTTGCCCAAGATGCTAATTCCGCACACCCCTTTACTCATTCCTCTCTGCTTGCCTGGTGAAAGAGCAGCTTCCTCCCTTTAATGGTGGACTAGGAGTTTGTATTAACCCTGAGACTCTGGTCCCCAGTGCTTATTCTTCAGAGGGCAAAAGAGCCACTTTTTAGGTCTGAATTCAATGGATGAGCCCTCAGGCTGTGCCACTTCCCCAACCGTTGTCTGCACATTGGAATCACCTAGAGAACTTTGGGAACTACAGATGCCTGGCTCCCTTGGGAGCTTCCAGAGAGCAGTGAAGGCTGAGAACCACTACTGTATCCTGTTGCCTTTTCTTTAAAAGTTAATTTTATTTGGAAATAATTTCAAAGTTACAGAAAAATTACAAGAATAAGAATTTTACATACAAGGCCCCCAAACCCTTCATTTAGATTCAACTATTCACATTTTGCCCTGCTTAACCTGTCATTCGTGTTCGTGCATGTGCTCTGTACCAGTATCATGGCCTTTAATACTTCGGTGGGGATTTCCTAAGGATAAGGATATTCTAATTGAGTACACTGAACACAATACTGAAACCCACCGTTCAGTTGACCTCACAACGTCCTTTATACCATTTCCCCTCCAGTTCTGGATCCAGTCAAGGACCAGGTGTTAATAGTTAGCTGTCCTGTCTCTTTGGTCTCCTTTAATCTGGGACGTTGCCATAGCTTTGTCACTTACGACATTGACATTTTGGAAGATTAAAGTCCCTTTTAAATGCTGCTACTCATTTTGGGTTTATCGGATGTTCCCTCTTGATTAGATTAGGTTTTGCACTCCAGGTGGTTGGAGCACTACCCGTGTCGTGTGTCCTCTCAGGGTGTGACATCAGGAGCGCACAATGTCATCTGCCCTGCCGTGGGGCTGTTCATTTTGATCACCTGATGTATCATTCAGGGTCCACTGAGGGGAAAATGTAAACAAGAAATGACAGAAACAGTTGCTTACTGTGGTAAAGATTGGTTAACTACTAAAAGGAGTTTTAAAAAAAACCCTAAAGCAGCTTAGTAGGAAACAGCTCCCACCCCGAGGGACAAGAGAGGACAAGGAACTGGGAAACTCAAGAGCAGGGCCCTGCAAATCTGAGGGTCGGACCTCCGACAGGAGCGCTGCCTGCCCTGGGCTATAGGATAAACTCCCCGAGGTGCCCCGCCCCGAGCCAGGAAAGCAGAGCGCTGGCGCTGTGGAGAATGCTGCTGGCACCCATGCCCGACCGAAACAGTCTCCTCTAGCCCGGCCGTCCTCTGCTCAGGTCCCTGTTGGCCATCTGGCGGAAGAGGAACGTCCCGGCATGGCAGGGAAGGGGGAGGAAGGGCGAGTGGCACACTTGCTTAGGGTGGTTTCTCCTTGCAAGGGGATAGTTACTGTTTTATCCCTTCCAACTCAGGTGATTTCTGGAGACATACTACTGTAAGACTAAACGTTTAAATATCCTGCTCCTCCCTCCCTTCTCCCCCAGTTATTTTACATATGTATTTATATTTGCTAGGGACTGATGGATTCCCATTTTTTTTGGTGGTTTTAGAATTCCTTATTTTCCTTTTGTGTTTTGTTTTTGGTTCTCAAATAGTTCCAGATTTGGCCAGTGGGAGCCTCTTCAAGCTGCTTTCTGTGTCCTGACATTTTTGTTGAACACTTTTGTAATTTCTGACTTAATAAGATGTTCCAGGCTCTTCTCGTCGTACCCCTGGTGCCCAGCCCTGGAATCGGTTTCTGGGGAGCCTTGGTCCCTGGCTCTAACTGTGCTCATTACTACCAGGGTGTCTGTGCCTCTCATTCTAAGAGTAAGAGCTTGTCTTACTCTTTTAAAATTGGTCCCCCCCTTTTTTTTTAAACAAAAAGTAACAGTGCTTTAAAAAATATAAACCATAACAGACATCTATAAAGAGAAAAGTACCCACAGGTAGACAAGTGTAGGATGGTGTGTATCCTTCCAGACTTCACATACATAAAACCCTATTTGGTGGTGGGGTTTAGTTTTGCTTTTGGCTAATATATGAATTCTCTTCTACAAAGTCTTTTTTTCTTCTTCACAACATAGTATGTGCTCTGTATCTGAATGTAGAATTCTGACATTTTTGTTAGCCGCATGGATATATTAGTATCATGCTTAACTAGCATACAGTGGGTGGATGGATGTTCAGATTGAATCCAGCCTTGCTGCAGTGAATAATTCCATACACATACTGTGAGGCATTTCTTTTTTTTTTTTTTTTTAATTTTTAAAAGCTTTTTATTGAGGTGAAATTCACATAGCATAAAAACCATTTTGAAGTGCACAGTTCAGTGGCATTTAGCGTATTCACGGTGTTGTGCAACTACCTCCTCTCTCTGGTTCCAAAGCATATTCATCGCCCATGTTGTGCATTTTTGTATGGACTCAAGGAGTCTTAGTAGTGGATTTACTCTGGACCAAAAGTCACATTAAAGGTTTTTCATAGCCACTTGCCCTTTCTAAGTTATTCCAGTTTATATTCCCACTAGCAATTGAAAATGTGCATTTCCCTATACCCTCGTTGACACTTTGGGTATTATCAGCCTTTATTTTTCTTCCAATCTGATAGACAAGAATATGTATTTTTTGACTAGTAGGTAGGCCCAGAATGTTTTCAAAGATGCTTCAGTCATTTGTTTCAGTTGGATTTCCAGCTTCTGTCATCTGCCTAGTTTGATAGGTTGTTGGCGGTGGGGTTCTTTCCCCTTACAGGGCTAAATTTACTTAGGAAACTTTTCTATGAAATTCAGTGCCTGTTGCTACTGTGTGTGTGTATGTGTGTGTGAGAGCTAATCTTCCTGATATATTTCCTAACTGGTTGTTGTTGGTGTGTAGGAATGCCTACATTTTGGATACATTGATCTTGTATCCAGCGTCCAAGTAGTTCTTGAAACCAGTTTGTATCTTCTGGGTGGCTCTTTATTGCAGTGTCTCTGAGGTCTCCTGAGGGTGTCCATGACCTTGTAGAAACACCCTAGGTTTACCTACTGAATACTTTCCTGGACAGTGCTGAGTGCATTGCTAGTGGTGACAAATGGACTCACACACAGGTCCTTCTCTCCTGAGTTTATTCACTTCAGGAAAGTAGATATGGAAATTCTAGTAATAAGATAGAAAAGAAATGTGTGTACCTTTGCATCCCCAGCACCTGGCACATAGTGGGCATTGAATATCTGAAATAAGTCACTTATGGTTTTCTTTTTTTTCTTTTTTTAAGCTGAAGAGCCCATTAGCCAGAAAGGTTCTCATCCCTGGCTGCATAGTAGAATCACCAGGAGGATGTTTAAAATATTTATGCTCAAACTCAACTGGCAGAGAATTGGTTTCAGTCTGTCCAAAGTGGGACCAAAGCATGAGCATTTTAAAAAGACTTGTTAGTAACGTCACTGAGCAGCCAGGGTTGAGAACCTCTGCTTGTCCGGGACGGAAACGCTACAAGTAGAGCTTGAGGTAGAGCGGGCGCTGCCTCTCTCTTCCCTCTGGCCCCCAGCAGGGTTTGCTGGACACAGTTTGAAAGCCACATCAGCCCCATGGTCCCGAGAATCCTGTGAGGATGTGGAGTATGGTGTGCCCACCTGCTGGTGGCAGTTTTGTTCGGGGCTTGTGCTGCTGCTTCACACACCAGGATGGGAACTAGGCAGACGTCCTGGT